CTCGGTCAAAGAAAATGCTAAGTCTAGAAGAATGTAGGCATAAAACATCCAGGAGTCGAGAACACTATGAGATGTCAAAATCTATGAATAGGAATACAAGAAGGAGAAGAAATATGATATGGGTTGTCCTCTGTCTGCAGCAAATATGTGTTGCTTTTATTGATTGGTGAATAATGCTGTTTCAGCTAATGGCTAAACAGAGTAGAGCCACACAGGAAATCAAAACAGAGACAGAGAGAATGAGAAGGCAGAGACAAGAGACACCATGTAGCTGCCAGGGAAGCAAGATGCCAGGGCATCACCAGTAAGCCACAGCCACATGGTGATTACAGATTAGTAAGAAATGGGTTTATAAAAGAGAGAGCTAGCAAATAATAAGCCAGAGACATTTGTCAAACAATTATGAATATAACTTAAGTCTCTGAGTGGTTATTCCATAAGAGGTTGTGGGGACCCAGTCCCAGCAGGCAGGAGAGAAACTGATCCAGTGTGACCGGGTGACACAGAAAAAGGGCTGTCTAACAACAGAAATCCAAGTCAAAGTTACAGAAAATAGTCTCAACAAAACTATAGAAGAAAACTTCCCCAACCTAAAGAATGATGTCCTTATCAAGGTATAGGAAGAATACAGAACACCAAATAGACTGAACCAGAAAAGCAGTTTCCCATGTCACATAATCAAAACACTAACCATACAAAACAAAGAAAGAGTATTAAAACTGAAAGAAAAAAAACAAATAATGTATAAATATGTCTCAGTGGAGACTCTCAAAGTCAAAAGAGCCTAGACAAACATTCTACAAATTCTAAGAGACCAACAGATGCAGCCTAGATGTCACCCAGCTAAAACATTCACTCACAATACATTAAGAAAGAAACACCAAAGCCAGGTGTTGGTGGCGCACACCTTTAATCCCAGCATTCGGGAGGCAGAGGCATGTGGATCTCTGTGAGTTCGAGGCCAGGCTGGACCGATAGCCTCCAAAACAATACAGAGAAACCCTGTCTTGTAAAAACCAAAAAAAAAAAAAAAAAAAAAAAAAAAAAGAAAGAAACACCATTCTGGGATAAAACCAAATTTTAGTAGTATCTACAAATCCAGCCCTACAAAAGGTTCTAGAAAGAAAAATTAAACCTGAAAATCCTAACCGCACTTAAGAAAATACAAGGAATAAATGACATCAGATTGAAAGAAGGAGGAAAAAAATTAAAATAAAACCCATACCACTACAAAAAAAAAGTAACTGGAATCAACAAACACTACTCGTTGATTATTCTCAAAATAAATGGTCTCAATTTCTCAATAAAAAGACACAGAATGGCATCAAACTGAGGGCTGAAATCAAAACAAAAACAAGTAAACACGTGTCTACACTTATCTTCCACAAATGGTGCTGGTCAAATTGAAAGGCTGCATGTAGAAGAAGGCAGATAGGTATTAGCCCACATGATACTCAACTCCAAATGGATCAAAGACATCAACATGAGGCCAGATAAGTTGAACCTGATAGAGGAGAACATGGAGAATAATCTTAAACTCATTGGCACAGAAGGACATTCTGAAAAAAATACTGATAACAAAGAAGTTAATTAATAATTAATAAATGGAACCCCAAACTGAAAAGTTTTTGTATGGCAATGAACAGCACCATTAAAACAAAGTGGCAGCCTAGAGAATGGAAAAATATTGTATTTACCAACTACATCCACTAGAGAGCTAACATCCAATATAAATAAGGGCAAAAAAAAAACCACACACACAAACTAACCATCAAGAAAACAAATAGTAAAAGTGAAGAATGGGAACAGATCTAAGCAGAATTCACAAAATAAGAAACTGAAATTCACAAAATAGGAAACTGAAATGGCTGAGAAGCACTTAAAGAAATGTTCAGTGCAGTGCTTATTAAAAAATACTTCTAAGACTTCATCTTACACCAATCAGGATGCTCAAGATCAATTTTAAATGTGACAACTGATGTTGGTGAGGGTGTGGAAGCAGGAACACTCACCCTGCTGGTGGGAATGCAAACTTGTATGGCCACTATGGAAATCAATGCGGCAGTTCCCCAGAAAAATGGAAATTAATCTACCTGAAGATCCAGCCGTACCACTCTTAGCCATATATTCATAGGATGTTTCACACTACCACAGAGACAATTGCTCAGCCACATTCGTTGCTTTCTATTCATAACAGCCACCTATTAATAAACAGTATATACGTTCATCAGTGGATGAATGGATAAAAAAATGTGGCCCATTCACACAATGGATTATTACTCAGTCATTAAAAAAATGAAATTTACAGGTAATAGGATGGAACTAGGAAAAAAATCATGCTGAGTGAGGTAACTCAGACCCAAAAAGGAAAATATGACATGTATTCACTCAAATGTGGATGTTAGCTGTTAAGTCATTGATCCATATAACTACAGAGCTTAGGTAGAGAGTAAGGGACTAGGATGAAAGTTGGATCTTCCCTGGAAGGAGAAATATGATGGCTAGATATGGGTGGATGGAGTGTAGGGAGTGGAGGCTGGAATGTGGGGGCAAGAGAGAGGAAACAGAGAGGGACCAAACAAGAAGACTGCATCTACAATGAATAGCATTTCCATAACTGGGCCAATAAAACTGCTCAGTGGGTGAAGGTGCATGCCACCCAGCCTGATGATCTGTGCTCAATCCTTGAGATCTACATGATATAGGGCAGAGTCCTGCAAGTTGTCCTCTGATTCCCCACAAGCACACTGTGCCTTTAAGAAATGTGTATATAGGGGCTGGAAAGATGACAGGTGACAGGATAATTAATGATGTGCACTGCTGCCTTACAGGTCTCGAGTTCTGTTCCTAGAACTCAGTCCAGAGGCTCACAACTGGCGGTAATTTTGGCTCCAGGGAATCCAGCGTCTCTGGCCTTCTAGTGCATTTGCACACACATGCACATCCACACACACTCACACGCACACATATATACCACACACTCACACGCACATGCACACACCCGTGCACACAGGCACACACATATACACACTCACATGCACATACACACACATTCACACACACACACATGCATGCACAAGCACGTGCACACACACAATTAAAAATAAATCTAAAATTTATATACTGGTTTCCCACTTTTGACTCATTATGGAAACAAATCCTAAGAATGGTCACAAAATCCTGCAAAACATGATAGATCTTGAGTAACAGCAACTGATTTGAGAGGATCCTTAATGGATAAGTAGAGGAAAAAGATGGAAGGCTAAGTGCCTTCTCCCCTATAAAATAGAGGCAGTATCTAAAGATAATGTATTAAAAAGAGCTTCCAAAGCCAAGCTGTTCAGTTGCCTTTCTGAAAAGGACTACATGAATAAATTGCTAAGCACTCTTAGGGACGGTCTCTTTCCTGGAAGCTGATAAACAGGGAAGAATCAGTAGCATTTTACAATTCCCAGGGCAAGAACAGATCTTGACGACAGCAGAACAAATACAGAGACAAATACCTGCACCCAGACTGATGGGAGCCACCTAACCACCCTTTCTCCCCCAAAAGTCAAACCGGAACTGGATCAAAACTCTAGCAATAATGACTAAATTATAGGAAATGAAGAGAACAGAGGCATATTGACGGCACAAGAAGAAGCGGGAGATGTCTATAGGGCACTACACGTGTAACTCGGGTCCTATCACTTAGAATGGGTTAGAAGAAACGCAAAAGGCATATGATCAAAACTCAGTATTGCTATTATATTTGTACTATGCCTGGAGAAAACTTTAATAAAATAATAAAAAGAAAATGGGGGATGAGGAGGAGGGGAGGGACAGGAGGGAAGGAGAAGGGAGGGGAGGGGATCTAGGAAAGTAAAGAAAAGCACGACTACTGGAACAGAGTGTCGGCGCTGCTGATAGGACTGAGTTCATATAAAAGGGCCTGAAGAAGGGATTCACCCCCATGCGCAAATTTTAAGATGGTCACCATGCCTCTGCCACTTTACATTAGCCTAGTTAACTTCCTTCCTTCCTTCCTTCCTTCCTTCCTTCCTTCCTTCCTTCCTTCCTTCCGTTTCCTCCATCCTTATTTTATAGGACAGTCCCTCTACAGATTAGGCTACCATCATGCTAGATAAAGCAAAATTACCCTATAATGCTTGGAAGGCGCTGCCACCTGTGAGGGGTGAAAATGGAAAGTTTTAGACACTGAGCAACCCGCATCCAACAACTTGCACGGAAACAGAGAACTCCAGTCTTCGTCCTGACCTGGCAAAAGAACGAATCCCTGGCACACACCTTCAGTTCAGGCAGGTGCAGCACCCCAGCCTGAACCTGCACAGGAGCTGTAAATAATACATTCACTTTGTTTAAAGCCACAGAGCGTGTGCTAATGAGTTATTCGGACACAAAAAACTAATACCTGTTCCTTAAACGTGAATACATTAAATCTTAGGTACCTAAAACAGGGAGACTGAGACAGGAGAGGAGGCTTATTCCAAGTTCGGGGCTAGCCTGGACTCCATAGGAAGTAGCAGGCTGCTCAGGGCGACTGCCTCCACTTCTGTAAAACATATTGTTTTAGCCACTGAAATTTAAGAGCGTGTAGAATTCATCAAGATTGTTGTTCACATTCAGCTTTTAGCTCATCCGGGATAGAGTAGGAACCCGATTCTGCTCCCAGGAAAAGACTGCTGAAACCAAAGCCCGACTTTTTTTGGCTGTACACACATCAGAAGTCCCTACTGATTGATGCTTATCCGATATCCCCATTTAAACGGAGAGCGTGCAAGACCCTGACCCTGATGTCTTCTTCTTCCCTCCCAACTCACCATCTATATCCCTTCCTTTTGTGTTCCCCCAGCTCTGGCTTCTGGGGTAGGCGGGTCTGTGCTCCACAGCCCACAGAAGCCCCCCTCCTATTCCCAAGCCGTCAGCCCCACCGCAGCCCCTCCTTTGGGACACCTCTGACCTTGACACGCCCTCCAAGCCCCTGGCGCCCAGAAGCATACCCCACCCCTTCAACGCTGGCGCTTCAGAAACCGGGACCCGGACCTGCTGTTTGCAGAGAGAGAGACTGGCAGGACTGCTCTGTGGGAGCCCGGAGCCCAGAATAACTCCTGGGAGAGGGCAAGCACCTGGGAGACTTGGGATCTGCTGCCTCCTCAGAGTGGAGGTTTCTAAGCCACCCAGGCTGCCTTTTATGCTGAAGAATAGTTTCGGTTTCCTTTCTGCTTCCGTAAGCGTTAAGTTTCGATTTTCATTCATCACCAATCCCAGAAGCTGATTTGGGAAATGGAGCTTTTAGCAACCTTCCATAAAGTCAGAACTGTCAGATAGGGGAAAGGGAGGCTTTGGGATTCTTGAGGTAAGCGCAGAGGGAATCGTGACCTAGAAGTCTGAGGACTAAGCAGGGCAACAGTGGAGAGGTCATAGAAGCACAACACCAGGTGTGGTGCCCCTTGCTTCCACAGGTACCCTAAAGACATCAAAGTGGGGGTTGGGAGAAATTGGATTATACACGCGTTTACTACTGACGCCTGTGGTTAACCTATTTAGGATTTTCCTTGGCCAATTAGCAACATTACACACACTGAAATGGAGACTACTTATTTTTGTTTCTGCCTTAATGATTTTTTCTTATATTTCTTCCTTCCCTCCTTTCTTTACTTAATCCTTCCTCCCTCCCCTCCTCTCCCTCCCTCCCCCTCCTCTCCCTCCCTCCCCCTCTTCTCCTGCTCTCTCTTTAAACCTGTAGATTCCTGCATTTGGGTTGGATAGCTCCTTTGCTTACTTAGTATCCCCTGTAACTTTAGGAACATTTTAAAAATGCAAATTCTAGAAAGTGGGGAAGTCTTGGGTTTGGGTGATCTTGACCACTGTGCTGTCTGCTCAGTAAGGAACTAGCAGAACTCTATTCCATGGGGAGCAAAGAGCAACTAAATGCAGTGAAAAAATAAATTTTCAAATCACAAACATGCTCTGTTAGCTTGGTGAACATTCACCACTTTGAAGGCCATTAAGGATGGGCACTTGGTCAGCTTTTGACCCTCCTCCCGTTGCATGAGTAGCATTAGAAAAGGGAGCATCAACTCTGTTCCTCCTTAACATTAAAAATACCACATGAAAAGGCAGAGGCACAAGTCCCACTCACAGAAGCCTCTGTCCTGGTTGAGAAAATGTGATCTGAGTTCTTCTACCTCTGACCCTGGGTGGAGACATGAAGTTCTGGTATGCTCCAAAGATTGGGAAAAGTATGTTTTACTGCCTCCTTGTAAAGAGTTAATGCAATTGTGTGTGTAGACCACCTGGCTAGAAGACCACCTCTCAATAAAGACAACTCATCTAAGGACATTCTAGGGAGACAGGAGGAATAATCATCCCATCCATAAGATACTGTACCTGAAAACAGCCCCATCCTCTTGCAGTTGTTCACAGATCTTTGCTTCTAAGTGTCTGTTTTTCTGAGTTCTCATTCAAGAGGCCTTTCTATCTACTTGGACACTAACCAAAACTCTAAACGCACTGGCTATCGAACTCTGAACTTTCTCACAGTTTCTGTGACAAGATTCTTGCCCAGGCAGCTGTTGAACACTCAGATCCTCACTCAGAAGACTGGCATATCCTTTCTTTGTCATCTCTCTTCCCAGCAGTGGCTGGCATTTATAGCTCACTCATCCTGTTTTTGTTGTTGTTGTTGTTGGTTTTCTCTCAAATTCTAACAAAATATTCCTTGAACTTTCTTCTCAGTGTATTTTGAGGATTTCTTTATCAATACCACTATAAGCCCACAACACAGAATCCTAAAAGGGAATCCTAGTACCCCAGGGAAAGATGAAAGTCAACCTTTCAATAAGAAGGTAGAAATGGTAAAGAAAGGGGTATTGTTTAGATTCATCGAGCATTATGTGCTTATGCTGTTTGTTTATTTGGAAATCACTGAATATCATTCGCGGTAATAGTGAGAAAGGAAATGAAGGGACCTGGAATTAATATCTGACCTTTTCAAAATGATCCTGGATTCCTACTCTTCAATAATACTGACAAGCTGAATGTTGCCCTTTCTTGCTTCTTCCAAAGAGGTCAGTGTCCTAATTCCCTAGGACTGTGGTAACTCTGGTAACAGACACTGTGCAGACTAAGGATCATTAGGAAAAGGAGTTATCCCAGGTGAGCCAAGTGTTACCATGATGGAGGCAATAATTCAGGCTGGTAATTTGACAACAAACGGAGTCATTTAGCAACAGTCTGTGGAAATGATGGAAAAATCACAAACCAAGGAAGCAAATTGAAAAAAATCTATTGGAGAAGGTGACAAATCACCCTGTTTAGTAAGCCAACTATGATCATCGAATCGTGAGGCCTTTACTTAGCCATCTGACCATGAATTAAAACCTCAGAAAACCTCTTGGTAGAGAAAACTGGCCAGAGTAGGATTTTTTTAAGTCAAAAGGCTACAGACACAGGCTGAGTATATTTTACAGTGCACCCTCCCACCACAGGGAAAAATGGACCCCTAGATCTTTAAAACTTCATACAAGGAGTCACCTTTTGGATGTGTCTAAATCTCCAAGCAGTGAAGGAAGTATCCCTCTGTTTAGAAGATAGTATGAACCATTAAAATTTTCATGCCAGATGAGGAGATTCGACCATTGTAATGAAAGCCCCTAAGAAATTAGAGTTGGCCCCAGGATTTCAGAAAGTTTATACACTATAAGATAAAGTCTTACAGCAGAGACAGCTTGCAGGAGAATGATGAGAAGGGCCAGAGAACCTTACAGTGGCTGAACTGTTTTATTAAGAATCTTTTTCTTGCCTTCTATTTAAATCTTACCTTCACATAAGGACCCTGAAAGTAGACTTGGACTTTGACACACACTGGACATTTTTGTAAGTTGCATCAAGACCCTGAAAATGGACTTAGACACTCATTGGATCTTTTTGTCAACTTTCCATTGTGGCCATATTGTATAAATCTAATTTTTCTGCTTTTCATTGTTTATTTGACTCTTTTAATTGGCTTATGGAAGACAAAAATCCCTTTGTTCAGAACATAGGAGATACAAACCTGAGTTGGTGAGACAACTAGACTTAATTCTTTCTTTTTCAGTATTATTTTTTACTTTATTATTTCACAAACTCATTAAATATTATATGCAACTTAGTTTGATTATATTTTTCTCTTAAAATCCTTCCCCCTTCCACTGAGGCCTTCTTTTTTGCAAGTCCCCATCTTGTCATTATTTCTTTTTGTTGTTGTCGTTCCTGACTCATGGCATTTAATTAGGATTTCTGAAGTGAGCATGGATGGGGATATTTACTGGAACAAGGGAGAATTATGTGTGGCTATCAGTGAGGAATGTGACTGGTCCTCAGGAAGAGAGAGACCTCATGGACCCCTCTCTCATCCATGATGGAACATTGATGGGCCTTGCCTTATTCAGGTAGTCACTGTGGCTGCTGTGAGTTCACAGGCATTACAGCCATGTTGGGTCCAGAATACAGTATGTCACAGCTCTCTTTCCCATTTTGAGCTCTTATATCCCTTTCTACACCTTCTTCCATAATATTCCTTGAGCCTTGGAGGAAAAGATACAGATGTCTCCTTTCAGGCTAAGCACTCGACTGTCGCTAATTCACTAGTCTTTGCATTAACTATCACCCACTACAAACAAAAGCTTCCCTGATCAAATCTGGGAGCAGCATAAATCTAGGAATATATATACAAATGTTTAGGAGGAAGTTTGACATCATATCCACATAACAAAACAACAGGAGTAGATTCCCTCTTACAGCCTGTAACTTCCCTAGTCATAGACTATGGACTAAGTTTACCTTACCAGGCATGAATTCCTCCTGTAACATACACCTAAAATCCTAATTAGGAAGTGGTTGGTTACCTCCATAGCAATAATCTCACTATTGGCCCAGTGGGCACATCTTGTCTGTCAGGATAGTATTACAGAAAACATGTTCCTTAGATATTCTGGAAACCACTCCTGATAGCACCTTGATTTGACCCCGGTGAAACTGACCTTCAGAACCGTCAAAGAATAAATTTGTCTTCCTCTAATCCACTAAGTGTGTGATAATTCATTACAGGAGCCAAAACAAAATCATAATACAATACTGTAAACTGATATAGTAGAAACCATGATATACTTACTAGTAGCAAAACTACCATGCTATTTCAACACAGGAGGCTACTATGAGCTCAGTGACATGAGAATACCTTGAATTTATTATCGTATTGTTACCACAGTTTTAAAAGATGGGTATACTGTGCTGCTTTATAGATGAGATAAATAAGTATTCAAGTGATATAGAGGCAATAAATGGTGCCAAGATTCAAAACTTGATGTAAATCAAAAGTTTGCTTACAGAATTATCAATCACATGGTCTCCGATAAATGCTTCTCATTCTAGAACTGAAATTCTTCCAGCTAATAAACCAGTAATTTTATTTTTATTTTTTAATTAAACTTGCATGCTGATGTTATCATTTCAGGTTTTTATTGTGGGTATTTTGGGGGTAAGCAAGAATTGTGGTGACCTATGGTTGTTTTGACTTTTAGTGACTTCAGATTTGCCAGGTAAAAACTTCAAATGAACTTTGATTCATCCTCCTCAATTTCCTGGTCTTAGTCTGCTTTGTGTTACTATAATAGCATGCCATACCCTGGGTTATTTATAAGATAGAAATTGTATTTATCATATTTTTGTAAATGTTGAAATTCAGTTTCAGTGTGCCAGCATCTGGCAAAAAATCCTCCTGGGTGACATCTAGAGCAAGGGTTCTCAACCCTGCTAGTGCTGAGACCCTTTAATATAGCTCCTCATGTTGTGGTGACCCCCAATCATGAAATTATTTTCTTAGCTACTTCACAACTGCAATGTTGCTACTTCTATGAATCATAATGTAAACATGTGATATGCAGAATGTCTGATATGGGACCCCTGTGAGAAACTTGTTTGACCCATGGTTGAGAACCTATGATGGGGGGGACAGGAGACTCACAACCCTTTAGTTGCTATTAATCCATTTGTGAAGGCAGTGCCTTTATAATATCAGCAAACACTCTCATTGAGGACCTACAGCCTCACTTGATTGCACTGATGAATGTATTTATAGCACATAATTCTGGGTGATACATTGAA